AATGAGATTCTTCTGAAGCAGAACCAGCACATGATGAACAATAACCAGAGAGTTCTGAAGCTCCAACAACTCGTCAATCAGATCGTGTGAGAAGACGTCCCAATTGGCACTCAGATTATGTTATAGAAGGTAATATTGCATATTCCTTTAACAGAGGACGGTGAGCCATCAACATACAAGGAGGCAATAAACAGCTCAGATGCTTCATAGTGGATGATGGCGATGCAAGAAGAAATCGAAGCCCTTCATAAAAATAATACATGAGACCTTGTTCCACTACCACAAGGAAGGAAGCCAATTGGTAACAAATGGGTCTTCAAAATCAAGCGAAATAGTGACGATCAAGTTGAGAGGTATCGTGCAAGACTGGTGGTCAAAGGATATGCTCAAAAAGAAGGTATTGATTTTAATAAATTTTCTCTTGTGGTTCGACTAACAACAGTTCGAGTAGTTTTGGCAATGTGTGCTACATTGAATTTATATCTAGAGCAGCTAGATGTTAAAACATTTTTTCTTCATGGAAATCTTGAAGAAGAATTTATATGCTTCAGCCTGAAGGTTTTGAAGAAGAAGAAAAGAAGAACTTGGTTTGCAGGTTGAAGAAATCTCTGTACGGTCTAAGGCAGGCGCCAAGGTGTTAGTATAAGAGATTTGATTCCTTCATTATGTGCCTTGGATACAACAGACTTAATGCAGACCCTTGTGCTTATTTCAAGAGGTCTGGTGATAACGATTTTGTTATATTGTTGTTGTATGTGGATGATATGTTGGTTGTAGGACCTAACAAAGATCATATTGAAGAATTGAAGGCAAAACTGGCTAGGGAATTTGAAATGAAGGAATTGGGATCAGCAAACAAGATTCTAGGGATGTAAATTCACCGAGACAGAAGTAATAGGAAGATTTGGCTTTCACAAAAGAATTACTTAAAGAAGATCTTACCACGATTCATCATGCAAGATTGTAAGCCAATTTCTACCCCTCTTCCTATTAACTTCAAATTATCCTCCAGTATGAGTCCTAGCAGTGAAAAAGAGAGGATGGAGATGTATCGAGTACCGTATGCATTGGGAGTGGGAAGTTTACTGTTCGCTATGATATGCACAAGACCAGACATTGCACAAGCAGTGGGAGTGGTTAGTCAGTACATGGCGAATCCAGGCAAAGAGCATTGGAATACAGTAAAGAGGATCCTGAGATACATCAAAGGGACCTCAAATGTTGCATTATGTTACGGATGATCAAACTTACTAATCAATGGGTATGTAGATTCTGACTATGCAGGGGATTTGGATAAAAGCAAATCTACTACAGGATATGTGTTCAAAGTTGCTGGTGGAGCTGTAAGCTGGGTTTCAAAATTGCAGTCAGTTGTGGCTACATCCACAACAGAAGCAGAATATGTAGCAGCTACACAAGCCAATAAAGAAGCAATTTGGTTGAAGATGCTATTGGAGGAGCTTGGGCACAATCAAGAGTATGTCTCTTTATTTTGTGACAGTCAAAGCGCCTTGCATCTAGCAAGGAATCCAGCATTTCATTCAAGACAAAACACATACGAGTTCAGTACCATTTCATTCGTGAAAAGGTGGAAGAAGGGACAACAGATATGCATAAGATCTATACCAAAGACAACATAGCAGATTTCATGACAAAGGTGATCAACGTTGATAAATTTACTTGGTGTCGATCCTCTTGTGGCTGTCAGAGACTTAAGCAACATGATGGTACAAGGTAGAAAGAATGGTATGAAGATATGATTGTTCCAATCAAATCTTCAAGTGGGAGATTCTTGAAAAATAAACAAGTGGCCCAGCCACTTTCGGTGGCAGCCACCAATTTTGTCAAAAAAGGGTTGGCTATTTATTGAAAATCAACAATGGTAAAATCTTAATTTTAGTTATTGTAATTTAGGGTATTTACAAATTAGTCCTTAAGCTTCAACTATAAATACCCTAGCTCATTTAGCTTCAAAACCATCCCAAAGCATTCTAGCTTTCTTACAATACTAGAGAGAATTTAGAGAGTTTCTTGAGAGTTGTTTTCTCCTTTTTATCAAGAGAAAATTATCATTGTTTTCTCCTTGGTAGATAGAGAGAAGTTGTAATTCCTATTTTCTCATAGTGAAATTCTTCTACCGTTGCCCGTGGTTTTTACCCTATATTATTTAGGGGTTTTTCACGTAAATTTTGTGTCTTCTTTATCTTCATTTTTATTTTCTCAAATTATCAGTTACGATTTTGCTCTATCCGATAGCCGTCTTCTGCAACAGGAGCATGCTGATGGTCTCGAGTACGTTATGGATGTTTTTGTTGGAGGGCCCTACGTAGTTCCTGTATATAGTTTTAATGGGCTAGGCGTGCTGGCCGTGATCGATGATAGCACTGGGTATATTACTTTTAATAAGGATAGAGATTTAGAATGGGCGCCCCAATCCATTTCAAACTTACAAAGACCCTTAGACGTGCTTATAGACGAGGTGTTATCCTTCCAAGTGTCGAATAAGTTTCATTTCTGCTGTTCGTGTAAGCAGTCCTGGATATTCTCTAAAGGCTTAAAATTCCTCTGATTTCGGGTATTGTTAGATTTTCTAAATCTAACAAGATGGGAGCGAGTCGGGTAAGCCTCAAATTATCGTCGAGACTCAAGTATGGGAGGAGGATACAACAGGGTCTTACTGATCGGGTTGGAAGGTCTAAGGTTAGAAGCAGTCGTATACAAAATGGAGGCAGTGGTGGAGTGTACTCAGAGGGTGATCGAGGTGATGTCTATACAGCGGAGAAGTCTCTTAGGGGTGTTGTTGCTTTGGGGGTTGAAGGTGCAGGGCTGAGAAGCGTTAAGTTTCAAAGGTCGGGGGCTGAACGAACTTCATTAGGACGCTGTTGATTCCAGTAATGATCGTTTTTGTGTGCATCATGGAAGTATTCGGTCGTGGTGTTTTATTCTATTCTGTGTTGCTGTGTTTAGATGAATTGGTTTCGTTGTGCAACCTGGAGTAGTTCGTGTTTCTTTGGAACTTTGTTCAGGCCTTGCATGAGTATGTTGGCAGGTTGTTCATTGAGGGAGTTGTTTTCGGAAGTTCTGAGTGCAATTGTTGCCCTTTTCTAAGTCTGCTATGCTATTTTGATTCTCAAGCTTTTAAGCCCTTCCATCCTTTTTGGATCAGTTGCAGTAAGTGAGATTTTTTGTGTTTCAGTGCTCGTTTTTGTTCAGGCTTGGTTATTGTGGAGGTTAAGTTTAGAGGTGTTGGGCCGGAAAATGGCCTGTGCATAGTTTGTTGTGTTGTTAGTTTTTTGTGTTTGCATTTTCTTACCACCTCAATGGTAGACTCTTTTTCCTTCATTTAGAATTAGGGAAGTTTTTTAACGAGGTCCTTGAGGTGATGTACTTTTTTATCCATTATAATACAAAGTACCATCTTTCAAAAAAAGAAAAGAAAACATAAATTAAAAAGGGCTAAAGTACGATTTTGCACGTGAAATTAGAACTAATCATACTAACATATAAAAAAGACCTAAACATGGTTACTCAAAACCAATCAACAAGGCGTGTCTCTCTTTTGTGTTGGGTCGATTCCTGCACATGTTATACGTAAAATGACATCATTTTGAGATATCTGATATCCTCAAAACTACGTCGTTTGAGGAATAATTTTTTTCAACATTTTTTTTCCTTTCAGTTTTTTTTCTTTTTTTCTCTTTACCATTTATTTTATTGGTCCACCGTCGGTCCAACAGATCGATAGCAAAGACAAGCTTTTTTTTTTTTGTTTCGTTTTATTCTCTTTGGTTTTCCTTTTCTATATATATATATATGTATATATATTTTGCATGTTTCAAGTGTCATGTAGGTTACTTTGAAACTTAAGGATTTAAGTTTTTTAGGGTTTCAAGTGTTATTTTGATAATTTCTTTTGTTTTGTTTTATCTTTCCGGCTTATTATTATTCAGACTGTTAGAGTTGATTTAAAGACATTATTTTGTAGAGACGGACGCAAAAATTTATGTTATGAGGTGCAAACTTAAGAAGTTATATTAAAAGTGTAGGGGTACAAAGTTATAAAAATTTAGGAGTTGTGGAATTAGTTAATTACTAGAAAATATAAAAAAAACTTTAAAATATAAGAGAATTTAAAATTTCTAAGGGGTGCAACCATACTCTACAATTATCCTTGGTCTTTTGGTTATAGCATTGAGCTGGTCCTGGTCATTTAATTTTCTCAAAATCATATCTAAAATTTAATTTTTATTTTATTTTAATATCCTATTTTAAATTTAACGCCATGTTTTAAAAATAATAAAAGTTTAGAAATTAAACTAGATCTAAACTTATAGTTTAAGTACTAAACACGTTAAATTTTTAATGACAGAGTACTAAAATAAACAAAAACTAAAAGTTATATAAGATTTAAAAAAAAATTAAAAGTTTAGGACTAAAACGGAACAAAACTGACAGTTTAAATACTAAATATGTAATTTATCCATTTTTAATTTTTAAATAAATTATAAAAATCGAAAAAGAAACCCAAAAACTAAACCAAAATCAAGCAATTCAATATTGACAATAAAATCAATTCACTTTATTCAATTTATATGGTATATTGATATATATATATGATATAACTATTTATGGCATGTAAAACACCAAAACTAATATATGCATATCAAAAGAATATAGATTGTTTTGATAAGGAAATGAAAAGAAAATAAATACAACTTTCAAACTCTCAAAATACCTAGGAATTAAATTAATAAACCCTCTAGATTTTTGAGGACTAGATTTATAATCATCATCATCATAATAATAAAAAATAATAGCAAATTAGTATTTTATTCACTCTAGTCCCTAATATATAAGCCTACTAGGAGAGCACCATCAAATTTACATTCATATGTAACACATGATTTAAGAAAAAGTATGGAGATTGTGGGGGGCAGATTAACATTTGCCAAAACTACTCAAACAATTTGTTCATTTCTAATTATTTCTTCATCCTCCTCTTGTCCGCTTACCCTTTTAACCATGCATGCAGTGAATAGAATGCATTTGCAATAGGGTTTCATAGTAGTGAGCCATCCACACCTGCAAAATCAGAAGATGAAATATTGAGTGCACAAAGGACACAATACCAAAAAGAAGTGGCATATTCTATTACTGATAAAGAAGATGAAGAATAACGACAAAGGCAATGATGGACCAAGGGTGGTCATCCCCCTAAAAATTTCAAATTTTCGTATATTTTACATGTTTTTCCCTAAAATTTTTCAAGTTCACCAGCATAAAATTCTGTGTTTGTCCTAGGACAAAGACACATTCGCCATCACTCCCTCACATGTTAAGTTCCATGAACCAAATTACTGGTGAATTTTTATTTAGATTCCTAGTCTCTAAGAAAAACTAGAATCAAGAATGAGCTAAATGTTCATTATACCAAATGTAACGAAAGAGTGGATTGACTAGATCCGAGAGAAAAAGGTCATGCACAAGAAAAAAATGTAATAAAAGGGAAAGCTAAAATATAAACAAGGCTAAACAGTACACTCCAAACTTAGTAAAGAGAGTACAACTAAAATCGAAGAACGGAGCATAGACGTACAAAACTGTTTCTAACATTAATCATGGGGGAAGATTTAATTGTCTATAGAATATTAGAAACTAGGTAACTAGAACGACCGAGTATGCACAAAGGTGGGAAAGCTAACAACCCATAGAAAGAACTGCAAAGTAAATAACGACCAGACTACAAGACAACATTCTTGGCATGTAAAAATCACAAAAAAAAGAGTATTGAGTTTGACTTCAAAGTTCAGTTTCCAATCCACTTACAAAACAGAGAGGAGCTTTGAATCCACCAACTGGCAAACTTAATGGAACTTGGTTCAACAAATAGGCCAAAAACATGGATTAAAAGGATCAACATGAATCTGTGACAGCAAACTAAGATGGTGAACTGCTCTCCATCGTAAACGAAATGACCCAAATTCAGGTCCTCTCCCCTCCCATTCATCTTAAAATTTCCCAGATCACTACCCCAAGAATTAGTTCTACAGCCAAATCTTGGTATAAGACGTTCCTACAGGTTTACAGGTATAATTGAGTTGGCCAGCAGTCCACCATCAACATGGTCCCTCATACAAAGTACAAACCTCTGCCAACTGCCACAGCTATTATCTACATTCTTGTTCAGAACAAAGTCAGCCGAGCACCGCCTGCTCTTCCTCATTTTATGGAAGTATTATACCAGTAGTGTTATGAATCACTTATGATAATTAGCTAGGTTCGATCATATCTTGGATCAAAACTCAACATTCTCAAAGCATAAGCATAGCTGAAGGTTCAAACTTCTAAACACTAGACAAGGCTATAGTAAGCATAAAACTTGGATCAATTTTCCTTTTAAAAAAAATGAACCTATCCGGCAACAGTATGTCACTGCTGCAATCATTTTCATTGGAGTTAATGAATGAATTTTACAATTACAACCTAACAATACTCACGGTGACATTACCATCAATTGAAATCCAGGAAATTACCTAAATTAGGGCATGATAATGACAAGCTTAGAGAAAACGAAGAAAGAAATTGAATTCAATACTCACGTTGAATCAATCGACGCTGCATTTTTTGGAACCACCGGTCATCTTACCGGAGGAACCTGAAAGGGTCAAGTCGTCACACCAAACCCTAAGAAGCCTACGCCGTCCTCTCCACCCACCGTATCGAAACGCAACGTCGGCGACAACCTTGATATTGAACTTGATCTCACCACGTGTCCTCTCTCCATCCATCGCGTCCACAACCTTGCCTTCCACGAAAGAATCAACCACGGAGTAACTTGCCTCCACTGTGTTCACCTCGCGCGTGCCCTGCACGAACGGCTCGATCCGAGTCTCAGTCAAGAAGTCATCCTTGTGGAAGACAGAGGAAACGATGTCTCCGTAGTAGATGGAGAGTTTCTTATTGGGATTGGAGACCTGGAACCGGGCATTCCACGTGCCGTTCACGTGCTGGTTGGAAGCGTTGAAGTTGGAAAGGGAAAGAGACTGGATGGAGAAATCAGGGAGGTGAGGACGGAGGACGAGCCAGAAGATGAGAAGGATGGTACCGAAGATGATTAAGAGCACGGCGAAGGCGACGAAGAGGCGGCGGAAGAAGGTGGGACGTGGGTTTTGGGGTGGTGGTGCTGGGTAGTAAGGGTATGGGCTGGGGTTAACGTAAGGGTAGGCGGTACTAGAGGTAGCGGGCGGTGGCGGAGCGCAGCCGTTAACGTTCTGAACCGGGTAACCAGTTACCGGTCTGGAAGGGTCTTGCATTTTTTTTTCTTTTCGAAAAGAATATTGTTTTGCTTTGCTTGCAAACAGTGGAATCGGAATCGAAGAGATGGGGAGGCCAGTAATGATCTTTGCTGTCACCTGTTAATATAAAGTTAATTTATGGGTAAACTACACATTTAGTATTCTAGCTATCATTTTTATTCTGTTTTGGTTATTTAAATATTATGTTTTATAAGATCATACTTAAAGTTACGTTTTGATTTCATATTGATCATCAACCGTTAAAAAATAACAGAATTAATGATGTGGTATTTTTATTATTATTTTTCAGTGATGATGTGAAATTAACTTATGTTGACACATCAACATCACCATTAATTTTATAACGGTGGATGACCAAAATGAAATCCAAAACATAACATTAGATATGATTTTTGAAATAAAAATAGTTGGTGACTAATATAGAATAAAAGTAATAGTTGTAGTACTAAATATGTAATTTACTCTAAATTTATTTAAAAATTTAAATAAAATTTAGTGTAAACTACGTAAATGATCACTAAAATATTAGTAAATATCTTTTCTTAATATTGAAATTTCAAAAGTAATGAAACAGTCACTAACATCATTTTATAACAAATAGCTCACTTAAGACAACTGAGTCGTTGAACTCTGGACCTATTCTTATGTTCTCTTTTTTTAGTATATTAACATATATAGAGAACAAGAAGGTTATGAATGGCGATGAGTTCGGTTAAGTTGGGTTTTTGATCAATTTTATTTTATTCAAAAATATATTATTGAAAAATCACGTTAATTTGAGAATAATATAATGATAATAATATCATTATAATAATAAAGAGAAATAATGAGTTTATCATGTATTGAGATTGTCACGTAAAATAATAATATGAGGCGAAATCGAATCTGAGAAAATAAAATAAAGAAGTTAAACTTCTTAAAAAATAAATAGAAAATACTTCTTTTAGGGTAAACTACATAACTAAGGGTCGGGTCGCGAAATGACCACTATTTTTAAATTTGCATAAATATGACCAATGAACTATTTAAATGGTTTTAATATAGCTACTGATGTTAACATTTAACGGAAGTGTTGACGTGGTAATTAATAAAATTTGGTATAGTTAGGGTATGAGTCCTTGTAAAGTTATGTATTCGTGATGCTAGCACCCTACTTTGTTTTCTTTCATTTTGGTTAATACTTGTATATGATTTGTTTCCTTAGATTTTTATTTAATGCAATGTGATCCTGATTCTGTTTTTAATTTGTTTAATGCATTAATTTGAACATTAACTTTAAAATCTTTATTCTAGTCATGTATTAAATTTATAGATTACAGTTAATTTTTTTTATATTTATGAATCAATTAAAATATTTTCATATATTATATATTATAGTTAATGATGAAATAAAAATAGACTAGTGAGGAATTAAATCTAGGCTAATTGAGAATATGATAACACTTAAATTGCTAAAAAATCTAATATATTATTTATAATTAGTTTAAGATTTTAATATTTTTAAATTAAGTTTATTTTATATTTATTTATTAATGATTATATATATGATATTATATTTAAAATTAAATAAAAAAATTATTTAACATACCCAAATAGGGATGGGAATTCTGACCCGACCTGACCCGAAAATTTAAATCCTCCACCCGACTCGTATTTTGAGATAAAATCCGAACTCTACCTGACCAGACTCGATATCTTGAGAAATTTAAAATCAAAAGATAAATTTCTGATTTGAATCTTAAATATTTTTTTCTTATGATTATAATTTGAATATTAAATTATATTTTAATGATTTCATATATATAATCATTAAAAATAAATATGAAAACAATAAATTTAGTTTAAAAATAATAAAATCTTAAATCAATTATAAATAAACTAGTAGATTTGTTTAAGTGATTTAAGTGTTGTCATATTTTCAATTGACCTAGATGTAAGTTCTTACCTATCCATTTTTATTTTTTTATCATTAACTATAATATATATATATTATAATATTTTTTCCTAAACTTAAACAAGTTATATAACATGTGTATTATCTCAATAATAAGTGTGAGAATTAAAATTTATCAAAACTCATCTTCATTTATTCTCACTTCATTTCAAAAGGTGATATGTGTGGCTAAAATTTGCATCAATATGATCATTAATGAAGCAAGAGAATCGTAGAACATATCTAATGAGACCACATTACAGTTCAATAGCATTAAACTATGGAATCAATATTATTTACGTTATAATATTATTATAAATTAAATTTATGTATTGAGTAAAAATATATATAACTTTATATATTAAATTTTTAAAAATAAATTGAATAAAACTAGGTGACTAAAATTGAACAAAAACTTAAATTTAGTGATGATTTTGAAAAAAGGTAAAAGGGTGACTTTTTCTCCTGTAGTAGATTCAATTTATCACTTTTGTCCCTATCGTATTTTCGCACAATTTAGCCCTCGAAGTTGCTAAATTGCATCATTCTATACTTTATTCCTTACTTTAAACCCTAAATTATAAACCCTAACCCATAACTCTAAACCATAAACCATATACGATAAACCTTAACTTAGAGGTTAGGGGTTATAATTTAAGGTTTTAAATTAGGGATAGGATATAGAATGATGCAATTAAACAACTTTGAGAGATAAATTGATGTAAAAATATGATAGGAAAAAATGATAAATTGAGTCCATTACATGGATAAAGGTGACCCTTAAGCCTTGAAAAAATAGTTTGGAGAACAAAATAGAACCACATGAATAGTTGAGTGACTAAATATGTAATTTACTCTCGTATTTTTTAATGGAGTTAATGGATTGAGGCAAATGAGGTAACAATTTAAACTTTAAGGAGCAAAATGTCCTATAATTGCTTTAAGAGGCAACTTTTAGAAATAGTATATTTTAGGGGACAATGATACATTTAAGCCTTAGGATAATGCCAATAATAATAGAATGGTCGATTTGTTATAAAATAATAATAGTAGTGATTATTTCATTACTCTAGAAAGTTCATTATTAAAAAGACAAACTAACATGTACTTCAATGACCATTTAACATACTTTACCCTTATATTTACAACATATAACGTTATTTTGAAGTTTTTATGTATTTTTCATCTGGTCTAAAGAGCCGTTGTGAAATAAATAATGAGTTGAAGTTAGCCTTAATTTAAAAAAAATAATTGAGTATTTATGAATAAAAATCAATTAAATATAATATTATTTATTAATTTTAATCTTTAATTGATAAATACGTACGTCATGATATCATGAAATTAGTAAACCAACAAATAAAAAACATTAAAGACCGTAAAGAAAAACCATAAAAAATGATTTTAAAGAATTATATAATATTATATCTCAAGAATACTAAAACTTTTTGCCTCGTTCTTCATTCTTGGTTGAAAGGTGGCTATAGTATTCTTTGCGATGATTGTCGTCGTCTAAGAAAGGTGGTGACAATTGTCACACCCCAATTTAGGGGCTAAATTTTAATAGTTTAAAGTTTCGAAATAAAGTCGTAACAAGAGAAAAAATTGAGGACCAAATTATAAATTTTTAAAAGTTACATCTCGATTTTGGAACTTGTGGGAAGTTCAGAGACTTAATCCTGAATTAGACAATTTTTTTGGTTAGAGAAAAATAAACCCCTAATTAAATCTCAAATTCCTCATTCCCCAAAACCAACATGTCGCATTCCTTCTCGATTCTCCCTCCTTCGGCCGGCGGTGCACTTCACCGCCCGTCCCAGTGAAGACGTTGTCGTCTTCCGACCGAAACCCCTTGACCAATTCGTCGAAAGGAGCCGATATTCATCGGGAATGAACGGTTGAAGTTTCATTGAGAAACCCCCCGTCGCTCTGGTTTTTGCTCGATTTCGGTCGATCCGGTGATTGACTCGCCTCATCGTCATCACCAACGTTGCCAATTTCGCCGATTACTGGCGTGGGTAAGTATTTCGACCATTTTTCTTTATTTTGATGGATTTTAGGCTGGTTTTGGATAATTATTGATTTGTTATTTGTTAGTGCTTGAACAAGGAGTAATCGAGATCCGTCCCCCGACCCGTCACGTCGTCACACACCATCATGCACTGTCGTATGCGTGTGGGGCTAGCCCTCAGCTCTGGAAACCTTCTAGAATCAGTCCCGTCGGTCTGGACCGGTCCCAACCGACCCAACTTGATCTAAACTGAGCCAACCCGATCTGAACTGAGTTAACCCGACCCGACCGAGTCAACCTGACCCGTTGAATTTGACCCAACCTATTGACTTTGACATGACCATTGACTTTAACCGGTTTGACAGTTGACTTTGAAAAAAAGTCAATTTTTTTTTCAAAAGTCATATTTTATGTTTTTCGACGTCTTGAGTCCGAATATGAAGTCCGTTTTGCCAAATTCGCACTCGGTAAGCCGTTTTCAGTGTTTTACCTTTGGAATCAAATTTGGTTTTTCGATTAAATTTAGTTTCTGACGTAAATTCGTTTGATATGATTACAAGACATGATGGGACGTGGAAATAAAGTTCGAGGGCGATCGAGAGTTTAAATGGTCGATTGATATGGATCATAAATCGAGGTAATATATTACTACCTTATGCATGCTTTATGGAACATGTTGGAATCGGTAAATGCATGGATGAATACGTTTGGTCTCATCTGTATAGTAAATTATTTCTAAACTCGATTCAAATACGATAAAAAGTCGGTAGTTGAATATGACTCAGATGACTCGTATAAGAAATTGGGTGATCTATAGGAATTAAATTACAAGTTCTGTGATTAAGTGGTAAAGCAATCAACCTCAGGATCTGTAAATACTGATTTATCTCTTTAAAAGTTAAATGCCAAAGGTACATGGATGAGAAATTATGACAATGCTTTTGTTAGATAAAATTTCGAAAATACCCTTATGTTGTAAAAAGACAAGAAGTGTCCTTGGAAGTGGAAGATTAACTCCGAAAAGACATATTGATCCGAAGAAACTACTTATGTACATGAAAAATGCTAGTTTTGCCCTGAAAATCTTGGATAACCAATTTCTAACCTTCAAGATGGAAAAATATTTAGATTCAGTGATCTTTGGACAAAACCA